CTGGAGCAGTGCGACGCGCGGGTCTCCTCCAGGTCCCAGACGGAAGAGCAGTGCACGGAGGAGCTCTTTGACTTCCTGCACGCCAGGGACCACTGTGTAAGTGCAGCACGCGTGGGTCCAACGTCCCTGCTGGTGCACGGGGCAGGGCAGCCCTTAGCCACGCTTCTGGGAGGGCAGACAATGTGAGACATGGTAGCTGTTCAGTCTGTCAAACGTGTTGGTTCTGCCCTACAAATGACACTCCCGTTATTTCAGTGCTATGTTCGGCCTTTTACAGTTAAACCCTCTTAACCACAGGTGAAAACTTTGTGAGAAATCTCAGCTTGTTTGTTTTCTTGAACAAATTGTTGCAAAACGTGAAGAAGAGCAGGAGGCTGCACTGGCAACCCAGAAACCTGGTAACACCCTGCTGATTTCCAGCCCTAAGCTATGAGTGACCAAATGCTTTGCCTCTTCTTTGCAGGTTGCTCACAAACTGTTTAAGAAGCTGAAGTGAAGGCGGGGGTCGTTGTCCATCTGGTTCCATGGCTCGTGTCGGTGGATCCTGGATCCTCAGTGCTGCTGCTCCCCCTTTCTCCTCCACGTCAGGTGTAGGCAGAATGGATTCCTGGCAGCCACCGAGCTTCAGCGTGTCACTGTGTCTGTCCTGGGAGACAGGCAGCCACCCCAGAAAACGTGTTGATGTTCTGTAATTTTCCATATTAAACATTCAGAGTTCCCATGGAAACACCCTCTGTTTATTTCCTAGTTCTTGTGCTTCTGATTTGTACTGGGTTAAGGAGAAATCACAGGGGTCTCGGAGCGACAGGGCTGTTTCCAAGCCCCTCAGGACCAATATTGTTCATGCAGTAACTTATAACTAAAGGGAGTGACCCTTTTCTGGGAGAGGTTTCTGTCCAGAAAACTCAGCTGTCCTACACTGTCACCTACTACTGCCTCCAGGCTGTGGTTGACTTTGTTCTTGCCCAGAGCCACTGGCCACGTGGCTGCAGATGGGCAAGGTGGTGGCTTCACCTGCTCAAGCCCTGAGCAGTGCTGGGTGTTTAACCTGAGCCAGCACACCTTTCAGGAGGCAGGAAAATCACAACGAAATGCATAATGGGCTGCCAAATTAACTACACATATGCCTCTAAGCTTGTGTTTAAAACGAGGTTACCAGATTAGCATGCTCGTTATTCACACAGTGATGTAGTTTTTAGCATTTTATTAAAATTTGCTAAGGCGGTTGCTAAGAGGTTACACCTTCATCCTGTCAGCTGCCACTACATTCTTGCCCAGTCATGCTCAAGTCTTTCACCCTGTTACCAATCCTGCTTTTAAACAACGATCACCCACCAAACCCCGTTTTGGGCATCCAGCCACGGGGATCCCCTGCCCTCGTTGCTGCGGCTTCAGAGCAGAGATCGTCACGGCCGTGAATCTTTAGCTCAACGTCAACCGGGCAACAAAAGCCCGTCGTGCTGCCGGGTCCTTCCCAGCAGCCGGTATCGAACCCGCGGCTC